CCCGCCGCCATGGACGTGTACACTTCGCACCGGCTGGGGTCGCCCCGCGCGCGGCTCCCCGGCAGCTCCGGCCGCGGGTCGTCTTTCGTCAGGTACGCGGGGTCGAGGCCCCAGAGGAACGGCTTGACTAGGCGGTGGGGGATGCGGGCTGTCGGGGTCCCGCGGACGCCGCAGGGCGTGGCCCGACATGGCTTCCTGGCGGACGATTCTTTAAACGGCTCCTGGAGGAACGTTTTCCCAGGAACGGCGCCCTCTGTAGAGGCCCTTCCACCGCTCGGGTGTAGACAACCCCACACGGCTCCTTGTGAAGAGCCCCCCCCCCCATTGTGACAGTCCTCCCTCCGTGGGACGTTTCCCCCCACCCCACAGGAGCCCACAGCGGCTTCCCAGGGGATAGCTCACTTGCCTTCGCCTGCTGATAGTCACCCTAAAACAGCTACCTCTGGAGACTGTCCCTTCCCTCACACAATGGGCTTCCCCTGTGTAGGACCCCAAAGGCGTCTCTCTCAGAAACGACTCACGTAGGAAACCCCATTATTGTAGTTGTCTGGAGTCTTTGCCCTTGATAGCGTCTCCTCTAAAATCCCTCTCGACCCTACACACACACACATCACATCCCTAATTTCGCTTTTCCCCACCGTCCCCTACCCTAGACTGCTTGGCGACGCCCCCCTCCCCTCACTCCACAACGGGGAACTCAGGTTGGGGGAGGTGAAGGTCATTAGGGTCGCAGGAAGGAAAAACTAACTGGAGGATAAAGAAGAGAGGTCCAGAAGCTGTGAAAGAGGCGGATGCAGAAAGAGACAGAGAGCCCTCCTGGGGTGACTTGGCATGGGAGGGTGTCTGGTATTGGGAGGGTATCTGGTATTGGTTTTGGGGAGAGAGTCCCCTCTTCCCTTGTTGAGATAGGAAAATCTGTTTCCGATTTCTGCTCTCTGTCTTTGGAATTGACCTTGCTGGTCTGGGCATTGTTTGTGACTGAGCTGGCATGGGGCACTTAGGGAAGTGTGGAGGTTGGAATGATGGAAAGGTTGCAGCTGAGACCTTTTAGAGGGAAGAAGAGTGGGCATTGAGCTTTGGTAGTACTGCTAAACTGCTATTAAACCAGAAGAGCACTTTGTTTGCGTGGTTGCTTTTTCTTTATTTTAGCCACTCAGCAAAGCAAGTGTGGTATTGTATTGTTCCCTTGAAAAGAGGCCGTCAATTTATATGCTAGAATGGCTTTCCCATATTCTTGTTATGGTACTTAAGGCTTGGTGGGATTTTTTCCTTTTTGCCCTACTGGGGATGGACCCCGGGGCCTTGTAAATGCTAGGCAAGCACTCCACCACTTGGCTACATCCACAGCCTTGTGTTTGTGTGTGTTGTTTGTTTTTACTAGATGGAATTTATGCAGAACAAGAACTCATTCTTAGAATTCTGACCCTCTTTTCCTTCCATTCCTTTGCACACACTGAAAACGAATACATGTTTGTAGAATGAATAAAGAATGGAAGAGTTTAAGAGAATAAAAGATGGTATCAGGACACACCTGTAATTCCGGGACGATAAGGCAGAAGAGGATTGAGCCAGTCTAGGCCACATTGCAAGACACTCTGTGTCTCAAAGTGGGGGGAAAAAACAAACAAAATTAAAAACAGCTAAACAAAATCAAGGTGGGAGAATTAGTGCTAGACTCCAATGAAATAATGTATTTTCTGCTAATTTTCTACTAATTTGACACTGTGTGAACTCTCCCCTGCTTTGTGGCATTCCTTCTGGGCTTTCCAGTATCAATTATTTAATTGTTTTTAGTAACCTCCAGTCATCCAATGCTTCTGCCAGATAGTTTCACTGCTTGTAAGTGTTTGACTGTTTCATAGAAATTGTCTAGGGAACTGGATAATTCTGTGTCTCAAGTGGTAGAGCACAAGCAGTGGGGAAGCAAGTTGAGTAAGAGCTTGAGGCCTTGAGTTTAATTAATCCTTGGTGTACACACACACACACACACACACACACACACACACAAATTGTACAGGATACTTTAGAACTTGGAGGAGTTGGAGACATGGTTCATGTGGGAGAGCACCAGCCAATGAGCAAAAGTATCACATACCAAGTTCTAGTCCAATTTCGGACCAAAAAAAAAAAAAAAGAACTAGGAGCAGCCATCCATTAAATCTAAGCTCTCTGTAAACTTGGAGTTTAGTTCCAGACAGTCTCCAGCTCAGGAAGTGTGTGTGTGTGTGTGTGTGTGTGTGTGTGTGTGTGTGTGTGCGCTCAGGAAGTGTGTGTGTGTGTGTGTGTGTGTGTGTGTGTGTCCCTGTCCCTGGAGACCGAATGCAGAACCTTGCCCATAGTAGGCAGGTTCTGTAGTTCTGGGTTGTATCGCAAACCTTAGCTCAGGAATATCATGGTGAGTTTTTGTGTGTGTGTGAAAATACAAATATAAAAGTATAAAATCTTACGCTGGGTGCCGGTGGCTCACGCCTGTAATCCTAGTTACTCAGGAGGCTGAGATCTGAGGTTCACTGTTCAAAGCCAACCTGGGCAGGAAAGTCGGTGAGACTATCTCCAAACCACTGAAAAACAGGAAGTGGCGCTGTAGATCAAGCAGTAGAGTGCTGGCCTTGAGCTGAAGAGTGAGGGACAGTGTCCAGGCCCAGCGTTCAAGCCCCACAACTGACAAAAAAAGTATAAAATCTATAAAACATAACTCTGTCTAGAAAATAACTGCTGGGTTACTTGTTTGTGTTAACAAAGGAGGGCTTTTTTTTTTTAATTGTCCCAATCCTGGGAGCTATCCCTGAGCTTTTTGCCCAAAACTCATATTCTAGGGCTGGGAAGGTGGCTCAGTGATAGAGCGCTTGCCTTGCATGCGTGAGGCCCTGGGTTCGATTCCTCAGCACCACATAAGCAAAAAAGAAAAAAGCTGAAGTGGTGCTGTGGCTCAAGTGGTAGAGTGCTAGCCTTGAGCTGAAGAGCTGAGGGATAGTGCCCAGGCCCAGAGTTTAGGCCCCATGACCGGACCCAAAAAAAAAAAACAAAACATATTCTACCACTTGAGCCACTTCTGATTTTTTGGAGATGAGTCTCACAGACTTTCTTGCCTAGGCTGTCTTTGAACAGCAATGCTCAGGTCTCAGCTTCCTGAGTAGCTACCATTACAAATATGAGCCATCAGTGCCCAGCTGCTTTTTTTTTAAGGCAGTGTTTATATTAAAAGGATGTTATGATGGCTTTTAGTCATACCCAAATTCTGAATTTTCCATCAAATAGTTTAAGTAAAACTTAGGCTTCAGATAAGTATGGTGGGGCTAGGAAGGTGGCTTAGTGGTAGAGTGCTTGCCTTGCATGCATGAGGCCCTGGGTTTTATTCCTCAGCACCACATAAGCAGAAAAAGCCAGAAGTGGCACTGTGGCTCAAGTAGTAGAGTGCTAGCCTTGAGCTGAAGAGTTGAGGGACGGTGCCCAGGCCCAGAGTTCAGGCCCCGTGACTGGCAAAAAAACCCAAACAAACAGGTAAGTATGGTGAGAGTAACACCAAGACCTAGCTGTTCTTTTCTGTACTTTTTGCCAGTCCTGGGGCTTCAACTCTGGGCCTTGTCTCAGTCCTTGAGCTTCTTTTGCTCAAGGCTAGTACTCTACCACTTGAGCCACGGCACAATTTCTGTTTTTTTCTAAGTAGTTCATTGGCGATAAGAATCTCACAGACTTTTCTGCGGGCTGGCTTCAAACTGCGATCCTCAGATCTCGTCTCCTCAGTAGCTAGGATTATAGGTATGAATCATTGGTGCCTGGCTTTTTCTATACCTTTGATAAAGGAAATTCGGTGAAGTTTCCCCCTCCTTTTCTCACCTCTGTATAACTGAACATGCAATTTAAGCCTGTCCCTTGCCTTTTTTTCCCTCCCTAAATACTGGGGCCTCTTTCATTCATCTTACTTGTTCATGGCAGACACTTCTACTTGAGCTATGCCTCCAGCCCAGCATTTTGCTTTTCACTGGCTTCAAACTGATCCTTCAGATTTCAGATTCCTATGTAGTATAGGATTACAGGCATGAGCCACTGGTACCTAGCCTTTCCCTTACTTTTGACGTTGAACATTGCTAATAGGTTTGGCTAAGCACCTTCCAGTCACCCATATTGGCTTCTCTGCTACTCTCACAACTGAGTGATGAAAGAAGCAGGCTTAACTGGTGAAGTTACATTCCTAAAGACCCATAGTACCTTGTAAGTGCAAGGTTCTTTTCTACAAGGGAGTTAGTTCATTTTCACAGATGGGAATGGAGATCAAGAGTTAAAATATTATTGCTCAGAATTGGAGGTGCCTTTTCAAGGGTATGATAGTCATCAGTGCTGTCTATCAGATAATGTTGGTATCTGTCTCTTGAGTACAGAGTAGAACCATAGTTTCTTGCTTTGAAGTTGTCTATGGCTATGCAAGTTGCTTTTGGTCAGTGAAATGTGTATAGGAATGTGTAACCCCTTGGTGATAAAAGCTTCAGGTATATAATTTGTCACTCTATTTTCTTATGTTTTGATGGCTGTTGCTGCTCCAGATGGTGGCTACTCCATCAGTCTGGGGCTCAGAGTAAGAATGATCCTGAACTGAAATGCCTCTGGGATTTTGGAATTATTACCAAAGTATAACATAGCCTAAATAGACTGGCACTAAGGAATCTGAAAACTTTCCTGCTTTTTTTTTTCTTTTTGGTGCTGGTCCTCTGGAGCTTGAACTCAGTGCCTGGGTGCTGTCCCTGAGCTTCTTTGGCTCAAGGCTAGCACTCTACCACTTGACCCACAGCAGCACTTCTGGACTTTTCTGAGTAGTTTATTGGAGATAAGAGTCTCATGGACTTTCTTCCGGACTGGCTTCCAACCGTGATCCTCAAATCTCAGTCTCCTGAGTAGCTAGGGTTACATGTGTGAGCCACCAGCACCCAGCTCAAATATTTTTTCTATTGAAGGGTCCATTGCTGCTTGGGATTTGTTTAAGAGTTTAAACTACCTCTTTTCAACAAGCAATTCAATATGCACGGTATTAGGTCTTTAGATTTGATGAACAAGATAGTCCCCTGCTCTCAAAGAGCTATGTTTATAAGTGAAAAGA